GGCTCTCTCCGGCGGCAGAGTCGTAGCCCCAGTCACGGTTGAATCCGAGGGAAGAACGGCTTATTATTTGAAAAATAAAGCAAACGATATGGAAAGCTCCTTGCTGTCTTCAAAATACTGCTTTATTGAATGCCTCCTGTGTTGTCCTGTCTGGTTGCAAGCTCTCCTGCTTGTCTTTGCTGTAGTGGGACAGAAACAGTGCAGACCCTCTCCTTCTAAAACTACGTAAAAAGCTGTGACTGTTCACTGACTGGGTCTCCAGACTGTTACTCCAGTCAGTCATCGCATAGTGAATGTTTTATGTTATGACTCCCCATTGTCATGCATAAGTAATCTTCAGTTAGTGGCTAATCATACTGGCTTCCACAGAAAATCCATGGTCTCTATGTTCTGCTGTGAGTTTCTGAGTCTCACATCCCTGAAGGGCAGGTGGCTCTGCTGCTTGTGTTACACTTATGCTAGTGAAGAGTTGATTATCATTTACTGTAAGAATACAGTGCCATGGTGTGGCAGTGTGAATTGATTTTGTAGCAGGCCCATGGTAAGTGACATAAAAGAGAATCAGTTTCCAAAACATCAGGTGGTAGATGTTGGGAAACTGAATACCAGCTTCTTCCACGTCTGATGATTTGTATCTAGGCACAAGCAATTCTTCAGCCGCAAAAGGCTGTGACTGAGAATTCCAAAGTTGGTAAAGTTTGTGACCATTATATTTCATTTTAGCTTTTGTCTTACTGTGCACACCCCCAGCTCCCAAATGCACCCTTGTAATTCTCTGTAAAACTTGTCTGCTTTGGCTGTGTGGATTTGGGAGAGGGAAATGTAATTGTACACTTCTGAGGAACTGTTTTCAGTTTGGCTAATGGTACTGTCAAGTAAGTAAAATACATGAACAGGGACTCTCGGGTATCTTTACTACAGGAAAAAAAAATCACATCCTTGTATAGGCCTGTGGTATTTGATGGCTTCATTGTGCCATTATTAGTAAAAAAAAAAAACAAAAAACCACACAACTGCAAAGGCCTTGAAAACGATAATTGTGCAATATGAGTGGTATTTTTTTAAGACATAGTCAAGAAAAGACGATATAGAGGTGTTGTTCTTCAAGTCCTGTGGTGTTCGAGGGAAGCAAGGGAGGGAGAACACCAAGTGTAGAAATCAGGCATGTGCAAACTGACAGCTTTTTAGGTTTTCCTGCTGGATTGTCAGGTTTAGCATATGTTATTTCCATCTGTTTTATGAATATTTGAGCATTACTTCAGTTGGGTGCACATTGTTTCATAAACTATTGCAGCACTCAATAAATTGAGATGTTAAGGACGGATATTTGTGTCATGTAAGGTGAATGAATGCTACTAAGAGTCAGATGACCAGAGTATAATTCTGCAGTTTGCTAACTGAAGTGGTCTTTTACCTTGACATGGTGCGTTCTTTTCCTCTAGTTTGCAAGTCATGTGTTTTCCGAAGATTTTCCATCCAGCCTGCCCAGCAGAGGAAGATTCCAAACCGGTATTTGGGCCAGCCCAGCCCCTTCACCCACCCACACCTTCTCAAACCAGGTTAGATTCAGGCCCTTTATGAGTTAGTCATTGGTGGTCTTTCTTCTCTCTGTTTTTCTGAGATGTCCAGGACAGAGGTTTGCTGCATCATATAGATGTCAGCGATTTCAGCTGTTTATGATGAATTTCATTAGGCAGTAATTATGTTTAGTAGTTAATTTCCTTGTCTGAGATGATAGCGATTCCAAAAATTGGTTTCACATGTTAGCTTTTTACCTTTTTCTCATGGGGTGCTCATTGTCACTGACTTGAATACTGCGGAGCTTTCCCAGTGGCATCTTGTGAGCTCATTGTCCTGCAAATACAATACAGTTTATATTAAGGGAGAGTCCTTTGTGCAAGCTGAACTGCCAGAATGCTTCATATCTAATGTTACAAAATAAAGGTTTCTTTCAGAAAAGGAGATTGGGGAGAGACTTACTGAAAGATGGACACCATTTGTCTAAAGAATACACCCCCTTCAGAAGAGTGTTCAAGCTGTGAGGAAAAGAAGAAAAAGAGACTTGTGTCTGTAAAGTTAGTTGGTCATGATGAAAGAGAAGCTGAGGTGGTGCAGTTTGATTAGATGAATAAAAATGAGCATGTATGTATGAGGTGACCATGATTAAATCTAAAAAAAAAAAAAAAAATCAGAAGTAAAAATATATTGAAGAATATGTCTAGGAAAACATTCTGGTTCTGTGTTGTTTTTCCATAGATAGAACAGATGAATATATAACTGTGCACTTACATATTTAACTGTAGAATAATTCAGGTCAGAAGGGACCTCAGGAAGTTCTTAGGTCCACCCTCTGCTCAGAGCTGGGCTAATTTCAATATTAGATTGTGTTGCTCAGGGCACTGATTAACAGCTCACAGTAAATGAGGCTGACACTTTTCACAGCTGAAACACCGGAGATTAATTCTAGCTGCCCATAGTAATTTTCCATTTAATAAAGGAGTAGTGTTTTCCTTAAAATAATACAACATGGTTTTATTGCAATTATTGTTTTAAAAAGCAAATGTCTTTAGGGCAAAGAGAATTTCCAGGTGTTGCAGTCAGAAGACAAATGGGATTCCCGTGTTCCACCCTAATGCAGCTTCTAAACTTCAGTGGACTGTTTGTGGTAGTTAGAAAACTGACTGGAATGCAGAGGAGCATAGGAAATTTGCGGTATAATATTGCAGAAATGCAGGGTTAGATTGCATTAAAATAGTTTATGTGTTTCCTTTCACTTCTAGATCTACAAAGTAAAACAAATCTGGTGGGTTTGGTTTTTTTCTTTAAAAAAATACAGACTTTTATACCAAGTAGGTGTTGGGGATGTATGGTATTGAAAAGGTGTAAAGTTTAATGCAAATACAACATATGTGATTTTCTTAAACTCTCTTTTGTCAAGGAAAAACATTCTAGATAGAACTTCCACCTCCCACCCACCCATGCAATAATCCACTTACAGTACAAGACGAATTTCAGTTTTGTTCCAGAATTGTCACTGCGTAATACATTAAAAAGTAAGAAAATATTATGAAACTAGAAAGTTAACAGTATGAAAATGCAAACTATGTTAAAATAGGATATTAGTCAAAATACTGATTAAGGCTCATGTATTAATTTAAATCATAGTTAAAGAGTCTTGAATTTTTAAAAATGCATACTTAAGCTGTTGTTGGTTGTTCTTTCAACTTCAGTCTGGTTTTGGTGAGTATCTTCATGGCTGCACTTCATATCTTTCATGACTGGAGCAGTTTAAAACATATTTTAATCTAAGAGATCATTTGTTAAGGGTCACTAAGGATATAGTACTTAACTTTGGAAAATTCCGATAAGTATTGGGAAAATCTACGTCTGCCCTGGAGAAGATTCCTTGTCTTAGTTGGAGTCTGCTGCCAGCTTGCAGTTCGTGGTTTCTTTCTGTCTGGAATCTTGTGACTAGTTAGACTCTGCAACCTCTGTGTTTCTGCCAGAGTTCCCAGTATCTGTAACACTCAATCCACCCCTTATGGTTTAGAACTAGTTGCTTTATGAGTTGACTTAGTGTGTATTTGAACAGACATTCTAGCTTTATCTTTGGAAATAAATGCTCAACCTAAGGAGGTAATCTTCTGTTCAATGTCCAGATGCTGTAAAACCCGTCAGTTTTCAGTAGTCAAAGTCCAGTTTGCTTTACCCCTTCCCCTTTTTTGTGCATGGCTTTCTGAAAACACCCATGTAGTTTGAGTGTTTGTCTAAATCTACCAGGTTTTGTGATTTCTGCTTTTGCACAGCAATACATAACAGAAAATCTGATTTCATAGACTCCTAGAATGTCTTAGGTCGGAAGAAACCTTAAAGGTCATCTAGTTCCAACCCCCCTGCCATGGGCAGGGACACCCTCCACTAGACCAGGTTGCTCAAAGCTTCATCCGGCCTGGCCTTGAACCCCTCCAGGGATGGGGTATCCACAGCTTCCCTGGGCAACCTGTTCCAGTGTCTCACCACCCTCACAATAAAGAATTTTTTCCTAATGTCTAGTCTAAATCTACCCTCTTTCAGGTTAAAACTGTTACCCCTTGTCCTATCACTCCAGCCCCTGGTAAAGAGTGCCTCCCCGGCTCTCCTGCAGGCCCCCTTTCATGTGCTGGAAGGCTGCTGTTAGGTCTCCCTGTAGCCTTCTCTTCTCCATGCTAAACAGCCTCAACTCTCTCACCCTGTCCTCATTCGGAGGTGCTCCAACCCTCTGACCATCTTCATGGCCCTCCCCTGGACTCACTCCGACAGGTCCATGTCTTTCCTGTCCTGAAGACTCCAGAGCTGGATGCAGTACTCCAGGTGGGGTCTCACAAGAGCAGAGAGGGAGAATCATCTCCTTTGACCTGCTGCTAATGCTTCTTTTGATGCAGCCCAGGACACAGTTGGCTTTTTGGGCTGCAAGTGCACATTGCTGGGTCATGTTGAGCTTCTCATCAACCAACACCCCCAAGTCCTTTTCCTCAGGGCTGCTCTCAATTCATTCTTCTCCAAGCCTGTATTTGTGCTTGGGATTGCTCCGACCCACATGCTGGACCTTGCACTTGGCCTTGTTGAACTTCATGAGGTTTGCACTGGCCCACCTCTCAAGCCTGTCAAGGTCCCTCTGGATGGCATCCCTTCCCTCCAGGGTGTTGACTGCACCACACAGCTCGGTGTTGTCAGAAAACTTGCTGAGGGTGCACTTGATCCCACTGTCCGTGGCTCCCACAAAGATGTTAAACAACACTGGTCCTGATATCAGCCCCTGAGGAATGCCACTCATCACTGGTCTCCACTTGGACATTGAGCCATTGACCACAACTCTTTGAATGCCACCATCCAGCCAGTTCCTTATCCACTGAGTGGTCCTTCCATCGAATCCTCGTCTCTCCAATTTAGAGACAAGGATGTAGCGTGGGACAGTGTCAAAGGCTTTGCACAAGTCCAGGTAGATGATATCAGTTGCTCTTCCCTTATCCACCAACGCTGTGCCCCCATTATAGAAGGCCGATTTTCCCTTAGTGGAGCCATGTTGGCTGTCACCAATCACTTCCTTGTTTTCCACGTGCCTTAGCATAGTTTCCAGGAGGATCTGCTCCATGATCTTGCCAGGCACAGAGGTGAGACTGACCAGCCTGTAGTCCCCCAGGTCTTCCTTATTTCCCTTTTTAAAAATTAGGGTTATGTTTCACCTTTTCCAGCCAGTGGGAACCTCACCAGACTGCCACAACTTGTTAAAATAAATTTGTCTTTGCATGATGGAGGAGCAGATTGAGTGAGGATGTGCTGTAGGGATGGAAGCTGAAGAGATGTATGAGAGAGCAACAGGAAGGCTAATTGAGGACCACAACGAAGCTATGCATATGAAAGGCATCAGGGAGTAGGCAGGAATCAGGCATACAGCTAATAAAATATCATGGGTGCCTTGAATTTCTCGATTTGATTTGGTTTGTATTTGTAGGAGAGGTAACCCCAGGACTGTCACAGGTGGAATATGCTCTTCGCCGACACAAGCTGATGGCGTTGATCGAGAAGGAAGCCCGTGGCTGGGATGGATTGGACCACACAGTGATTCTGCTGTCCAACCCCACGTACTACATGAGCAATGACATCCCCTACGTTTTCCACCAGGACACTAACTTCCTGTACCTCTGTGGGTTCCAAGAGCCTGACAGCATCCTGGTGCTGCAGAGCATTCCTGGCAAAGCCCTGCCTTCCCACAAGGCCATACTTTTTGTGCCCCGGAGAGATCCAAGCCGAGAGCTGTGGGACGGGCCCAGATCAGGCACAGATGGGGCAATTGCTCTCACAGGAGTAGATGAAGCTTACACCATCGAGGAGTTCAGGCACTTGGTGGCCAAGCTGAAAGGTAACAAAACATGGAGGGGGAATGAGATGAGACGTGATTTGCAGGGTCTGAATAGTATGGGTTTGGAAGGTGGTCTGTGACACCAATTCAAGACTGTCATGAGACTGGGGAGGTGCAGGGGGTATGGCAGTGTGACAAAGACAGTTGGAAGTTCTTGTTAACTTCTTGAGGGTCACCAGTGGAAACGTAGTTTTAAAAATAATAGTTTTTTCTTTCTGAATGTCTTTTTTGCCCATGTGAATGCCAGCGTACACATCTGTGAAATGTCAGGGATGCAGTACACAAAAGAGCCTCACAAGCTGTGTTACTGTTTTAGTCGTATCTTTTTGCTGACAGAGCCGGAATCAGATGAAGCATAGGAAGCTTGAAGGTATTTCATTCATAATAGACATGGAAAATGATCCACACAGGGAGGTTGTTAGTCCACTCACCTTTTTTAGCTATATGTTAACATACTCTTGAAATATTAACATTGCTGTATTTTAGATGTGTTCTTTTGCATCTATCATCACCATGTAGCCTCAATACTTGTACTTGTAATCCAGAGTGAACTTTAATGCATTATAAAATGAAGCTGAAGGCTTATGACAATATAAAAAGGGTAAGTGATTGGGGGATTACACAAATAAATAACGTGAATGCTGGAGTCTTAAATACCACCCTGGATTCTAGTTTTTTTGTCTCAAAAAAGGATATATTGAAAATAGAAAAGTCACAGAAAGGGCAACAAGGATGATCAAAAGTATGGAGTGTATGTGAGATATGTGTTGGAGAAACCTGCTCAGTTTGAAAAAGAGAAAACAGAATGTAGTGCATAAAAGATGTGTATGGTTGTGGAAAGCACAGACAGGATGAGTAGGAATGATTAGTTGCTATTTTTCATAATTTACAAACAAAGGGAATGCTGAATAAAATTATCAGATGACAGATTTTGACACCTTGTAAGTTTTAAGTTGTAGGTCACGCATTGAAGGTTTGGAATGTCAAAAGTATAAATGGATTCACAAGTTTGTAGTTCCATTCGGGAGAGGTCCATGAAAAGCAGTTAATCACTGTTATGAAGATGCAGCCTCGAAATGAAGAAACCAGAAGTGGAGAGGATGTGCTCAGGAAAATACTCTTTCATAAATGCCCAGTTTCTTAGAGACTGTAAGCAGCTGCTAATGGCTGCTGTCCTCAAAGAAGGAGGGCCTAGGCAGACATTAACTGTCACTCAGCACAGCTTTTCAACTCATTCCCATTTAAAATTCCTGTGGGGAGAATGCAGGTGCTAATTCTGATGTTCTAAATAAATTTCCACATAGGTAAATATGTTTGTTTTCAGTAACTTCATCTTCTCTGAATGGCTGAAATAAGAAGTTGTTCCCCAAAGATATTCCGAAGCGTAGTTGATAATGACCCTGATTCCATGCGATGGGTAAAAGGTAAATTGCCTTACAGTGTCAGAGGGGACAAGATAAATGAGAGAACAATTCAGAACATGCACCAGTGCAGTGCAATGGCTACTTAGCTTCCAGAAGTGCAACTTTGATACACAAACTCTGAACGGATCTATGTAAGATACATATATTCAGTGATGATCATAAAACGCAATATTTGCATAGAAGTGGGCATTTGTCAAATCTACATGCTATACATTGGTAGTCTTCCAGATTTTGAAAAGATTGCTAGTATCCTGTGACAGTGAAAGTGTCTATATGGTCTGTAAATGCAAATTCAGAGGAAATGTAGTTCTCAAATATAGCAGCAGGTCTAGTTTAGGAGGAGTGAGTTTGTTCAGTGTGGGGAGGACATTTCTACATTTATTTTCATCTGTGTCAGCTTTTGTTTTGTATTCCAGGCGAGTCAAACATTGTTTGGTATGACTTGAACAAACCAGTGCATGCAGAGCTGCACTCTGACTACATGCAGCCCCTGTCTGAGATAAAAGCTCGGAACAAAAACCACATTCAGGGCATCCGACACCTAGTGCAAAACCTTCGGGTGATCAAATCTCCTGCAGAGATTGAAAGGATGAAGATAGCTGGACGGGTGACAGCAGAGGTATGAGGTGGTATGCTCTCCGAATGAACCAGTGCATTCCTTTAGAGAAGAAAGGGGAGAGGGTTGTTGATGGAGTGACATGGGTTGGAAGGATGGCTTCGGTCTAATCTGTTACTGATCTGCTGTGTCTCAACTGTTGGCGGGTCTGAGCTCCCTCCACGACAAGGAGAAACAGGAAGACAGCTTGGACTACTAGCTTCTTTCAATTAGTGTAACTTCAGTGAAGACAAGCCAGCAGCTGTTAGGCTTTGTTTAAAAGCAATATCTATTCAGGAACAGGGGTAGCCTCTTCACTCTCTTCCTAACTTCCCCTCTCTTTCCCCATGCCATTTTCTTCCGCATTTATCCTGTTGTTTTTGAGGAAACAGGATTTTTGTGAACACATTGCCTGTGCATGTCTCTGTATTAGCCCTTCTCCCTCAAATACCTTCTGAACTTGTTGGCCAGTTTTAAACTAATCTGACAGATAACCTCAAATGCAGTTATGTTTTTGTAAAAATTATTAAAATAGATAGACAAGTAGAAAAGAGAGGCACAGCTTGTCCCTCTCTGAAGGAAAAGCTGCCTCTGGTTCCTGTATTCTGGGCCAGCTGATTTTAGGCCTTCCTCAAAAGGCAGCAGGTAAAAAAGACCTTCTCTCAAGTTTAGGCTCCTTTACTAACTGAAAGGCTCTTCTTTTTCATAGGCTTTCATAGAGACAATGTTTGCCAGCAAATCCCCAGTGGATGAAGCTTTTCTGTATGCAAAGGTGAGTACTTTGTGGTTGGAGGTGAGATAGAAGGGCTGGATGTTTGTTATCCTTCCGAGAAACTAGAAATGTCAGACCTCTCTATAATGTGCCTCCCACTTTAGCACATTTCTCCTTCACCCACCTCTTGTGGTTCCTAGGATGTGCAGAAAAGCCAGTGTGAGGAATTCTTCATCTGTACTTCCTATACCCTTATTGAAGTAATCTAGTGGTTGTCTATATGCTGTTGATGTCTTTTTCTGCTGTATTTAAATACAAAACCTGCTAAACAATCAGAGATACAGTTATTATCTTATTCTATAATACAGTTCTATTGTACAGAATTTAAGGAGTCTTCTCTTTAAGTCTGCTTCTCTTGACTCTAGCCTCTTACTACATCTGATTACTACACCTATCTTGAAACAGTGTAGATGCCTCTCAGTTATAAAATAAGGACTAATTGGCCTGCACATTTGGTAAGGAATTTTGTAAGGAATTGCAGCAAGATGGCTGTTTGAGAAACATCAGCAGGATTTGACCCTCTGTTATGACACAGATGGGCCTGTGCTGACATGGCACTGAGCAGCAGTACTGACCTGTAAATAAGACTTCCTTCTCCGAGTGATAGGGGAGCCAACCAGGAGAGGGG